ATTACAAAACCATGAAATTTATATATTTTAAAACCAAACAATAATTGATGACTAAAACTGCCACCACCACCAATCTCCACCATCAGAACACAAGATTTTAAGCACCACCAACACCACCAATTACCCTAATAAGCATCACCATCATTACAATAAAAGAAAAACATCCTTTGAAATAACTACAATTTATGCACAGTAATTAGAATTACTTTGTTTAAAGGCCATTTTATTCATATTATATTTGTCATATTCAATAAAAGAAGAGGAAAAAAAAAAAAGTCTGGTGTTGAATGGAAAGGCACTTGCAATGCCAAGGTACCACTACCAACATCATCACACAAAAGAATTTTTCTCTCTTCTTTGAAAAAATGTACTAGCATATGTATAGATGATTAAAGATTTAAAAATGAAGTAATATAAAAAGAGACATTGACACTTGTGTAAGAATCAAAGTGGGTTTCAAGTCAAAGTGCAGAGGGATTGACTGCCACGATTTCATATGTAGGGACCAAAATAGAATTTGACCAGAAGTGTAAGAGGTTGGCTGTCATGATTTCATATATAAGGGCTAAAGTGAGATTTAGTACAAAGTGTAATTTACACTATCCGTAAATTGAGAATGAAGGTCAACTGTAAAAATTAGGTACTTATTTTAAAATTGAGGATTACAAGTATCAAATTGAGTACTCCAAAATAATATAATAGAAATTTCTTTATTCTAAAATTGAGGTTGAACTGTAAAAATAGGGTATCTAATTTCAAATTTATGTCTTCAATTTTTTAATCAAGTGTACAAAAATAAAAATAAAAAAATTAAAATTTATTTATTTCAAGAGTTAAAAAAAACAATAAAATAAAATAAAAAGCCACTTTTACAAAACAATAGAATTTATATATTTTAAAACCAAACAATAATTGATGACCAAAACTACCAACACCACCAATCTCTACCGTCAGAACACAAGATTCTAAGAACCGCCATCATTACAATAAAAGAAAAACATCATTTGAAATAAGTACAATTTACGCACAATAGAATTACTTTTTTTAAAGGCGATTTTATTAATATTATATTTGTCTTATTCAATAAAAGGAGAAAAAAAAAAAATGAAATTCTAGTGTTGAATGGAAAGGCACTTATAATGCCAAGGTACCACTACCAACATCATCACACAAAAGAATTTTTCTCTCTTCTTTAAAAAAAACGGAAAATATTCTAGATTTCTAAAAAAGGAGTTCAAAAAGAACTCTAATTTATTTATTTTTTTTACTATTATGATTTGTCTTTTTTCATTTTTTTTTTCGTTGTCAATTGTATAGAGCTTTATTTAGAGCTCTATACTTAGAGCTTTTTATCGCTCCCGTGAAAAAATGGGTCCAGCTTTTCTCTAGTTTGATCACAGATTGGAAGGTGTTATTGGGCTTGTGGAGGCTCACCACAGGTCCCGCTTTGATAATTTGAACCGTACAATATATAAAAGTCATCAAGTACTATATACTTGTTAAAAATTACGTTGATCGGATATCGATAGCTATCTCATCAGATCAGATTTCAGTCAACTGTTATTTTTTCACCGTCTATTTTTTTTTATACGAAACTAATTTGATCACGTAGCTATTTATATCTAATCAACATGATATTTTACAAGTATATAATACTCAATAATTTTCACATATTAAACGATTCAAATTATCAAAACCGGACTCATAATTAGCCTCTACAAATGCAACAATATCCTCTAATTCGGTCATAGTCGGACCTTAAAAAAATATACTAGCATATCTATAGATGATGTTGTGAATGGCCAAATCATGATGGTTTGACTTCTTGGACTCAGAGTCATGTGCGTAGAAAGCACCTAGAAAGCACCTAGAGAACCCATTCAACCAATGACGGAAAATAAAATAAATTATGTTTTTCCATTTTCCAGGAAGTTCATCAACCACTCTGCCAATCCACAATATTGTTTTCTGTGTTTATTTCCACCACCAATATAAGCACAACTTTTTCAAATTTTTTTTCGTCTGATTTTGACATTTGAAAAAAAAAACACAGAAGGTGGTGGTACTACTTCTCCACTTTTGATGGAAAAAAATATTAGAGATGTCAAAAGTTTTACTAAAATTTATACTACAGATCTTATAGGAGTGTAGGATCCACACCATGTGGGTCTTACGTAAATCTCACATTCATGTAAGATATTTGGTAAAAATTTTGATAAAACTTTTGAAATCTCTACCATTACTCTTTGATGAAGTGTGCTTGTCTGTTGCTCCATTCAAGTACCAAAAATAATTGCTGCCTTCTTATTTCATATTCTATTGTACTTTAATTAAACATAGTAAATGTAATCTCACTGGATATATAATCTATATCTTACTATAAATTTATTATATCACATTTTATATCTCTAAATATCATATGACAAATATTTAAGACTTTTAAAAAATTCTCAAAATTGGACTCGAATTAGTTGTTATTTTTTGATTTGTTATACATTCAATTATGTAGGACTCAATTTTATTGTCATAGCGTTATAAGTAAATTTAGGAGTTTAAATTATAAATTTCTAACAATACTCATATTACATGTCATCCTCAACGTCTTATATCTAACCTGATCAAAGGGGAACTAAGAGTATAAATTCATGCTATAAAATAAGTTTTCACTGCTGGCAGATGGGAAGAAACTTCTTGTTAGGTCGACCGATTCTATCCATCAAGTTGTTTAAAAAAATGACCAATCAAATTCTTGATTGCTTGGTCGATTCTATCCATCGAGTTATTTAAAAAGGTGACCAATCAAATTTTTAATTGATTGTTGTTAGGTCTATTTATTTTATCTATCATGTTATTTAAAAAAATGACTAATCAAAATTTTGATTGCTTCTGATTAAATTTGCCGACTCTATTTATTTAAAAAAAGTGATCAATCAAATTTTTAATTGCTTGTGAAAGGTTGGTCAACTCTATCCATCGAGCTATTTAAACAGGTGACCAATCAAATTTTTAATTACTTGTGGTTAGGTTGACTTATAGCTAGGCTGGGATTCTGGACAAAAAGCACATTGAGATCTAAAACATTATCTTGTTGCTGATTTTTAACAGATATTGAAGCCATTAGATTGTTAAGCCTGATTAATCGAAGTTAATTATGCTCTGCTTTTGAAGGTTCTGATTCCTTAGCCTTTTTCCTGAAGCTCTTTAACCCTCTTTTGATGGCATGTTGCTACTGTTCTTTTACGTCTAATATTGATGTACTCGTAGAATTTTTGTCAAGTTTCTCTTGTCTGAAGAAAAAATAAAAAAGACACAATAATGAAAAGTATATCGGTTATGAGTGCTAATAAAACAACGCACGTCAAGATTTGAAAGAGCACTTATTTATCAAAATCCAGATTATGTATAGACAAACACATATGTAGAGAAAAAAAATCTACAAATTTACTCGAGAATATTGACAATCACTCATGATGACATTGGAGCAATTGCACAAGTACAGTTTCTATATTCACTCGTAATTTATTACATGGCTCATAATAAAGGCAAACCAGTTGTATATTACAAGACAGAAGGCTATGCTAGGACCACCGAGCCAGCCAACGAGAAAACACACTACATGTATAAAATAAATCAAGCCAACGAAAAGACAGACACAGTATTATATAAATTGAGCAATACCACTACAGGGCAAACTGCAGGAGCTATCGGCTTATTCGAGTTTGGACAATAGATAAAACATAATCATAAGAATTAAATAGTTTCCCATAGATAATACATATAAGGATACCCTGTAACCTTGCTTTCAGCATAAATTGGACCTCTGTCTATTTCTTCAACTTCTTTGTTAAGAAAAGCATATCTAGCAAATTACCTGAAATCAAATTTTGGAATTGATGACATTAAAGACTAGTTGAAAGTAAATGTGCTATGTCAAAGAAGGTGGTGGCTATGCGATGGAAAAAGCAAAATTGAAAAAATAAATATTGATTTTTAGAGAAAAATTCATAGAAATACTAAAAAATAGAAAGAAAAAAAGGCAATTTTGTTAATTCTTAACCCTAGATGACAGATAGACCATGCATTGTGGATACCTTGCATGAAATTTGTTTCACAAAAATGGACAAATGTGTTGTTTGATGAAAAGGGTGCTCCATTTAGATTTGCAAAGTCTTGCAAGTTTAATATACTCGAAAAAAGACATTTTGGGTTGATAAATTTTTGCATAGACCAAGATATAAAAGGATATCATGGTATAGACTAAAATCCATTATCTATGTACTCGAATGGAACTTGGGAAAGACAAAATAACTCGTAATTTAATGCATGCTTATGTTTAGTTGGGTTTAGTGGCAATCTGTATTTGTAATCTTTGCTACTATATTGATTTGGTATAAATTTATTGTAATAAAGATGGTGAAAAATTTAAACTTACGTAATTGTTTGGGTTGGTGCAAACTCAAAATCAAATGCATATTGAATTTTTTTTTTTTAATTTTAAATTGTGATGGTGGGTTTTGTGCAATTGGTATTTGTAATCTTTGCTACTATGTATAGATTTGTAGATTCGAGAAGCCCATTCCTTATACAATGTTTTTATTTAAGTCAGTTTCGATGCAAAATTGCATTATCAAACAAAATATCCATACAAAGTTTATATTACTTATGGCACGTTCAAAATTTGACACGCAACAATAGGCTGTCATTTCTTCGGAAACAATAGTGAGTTTTAACCAAAAATGAAATTTTGGTGTGAAAAACTCAATTAGCATTTGATCTAATTGAACTAAACTCAGCCTAGTGAGTTTTTACCCATTTTTTGGGACTCAATTTGGGTGACTCAATTGACATTGCTTTTAAAGAAAAAATTCTTGACTGCATTAGTGATAAAGGCTTTGTCTGTTTTTAAGTAAAAATGTTTTCCTCAAAAATATTTTACAAATTTTCCACTGTTTGCTTAACAAAAAGTAAGTAAAAACTTACAAGAATTCTCATCATGATTATCAAAATCTTGATCCAAATAGTAGAATTTTACGATTCTGTAATTTCAATTGAGCTAAACGATTCGGATCACACTAAAATTTTAAAGTCAAATTCAATAAAATAAACAATTTAAATCATAAAAATTGACTCCACAATAGACTCTGCAGTCCCCAACAACCGTTTCTACGATAACCCCTCCACCACTCTCCAACTCTACGTCAGCTGCCGATGACTTATCTTCCAACTCATCTACTCCCCTCAAATCCCCCAATCCCTTTCTGGTTTCCTCAACAACCCTAGCTACACTTTTGTGGGTGTGGGTATTCACACCAATGTCGACAAGTTGATTGAAGATTATGGATTGTCTGTGGCCACCACTGTTGATCCTCGCTCCTTGGCGGTTGAGTGCAGGATGATCGAGCTTCGCAATGCGGGGTTGAAGAATTTGGCGAGAGAGGTGCTGGGGAACGAGATTGAGAAGCCCAAGAGTGTGGGACAATGAGTGGCTCTACCCTAAACAGGTTCAGTATGCTTGTATTGATGCTTTTCTTTCTTTTGAGATTGGAAGGTGCTTGAATGCAGCTGGGTTTTAGATTTTATGAGAGTACTATATTTAGGCACCGTTCGAGAAGACGGTTTTGGGCTAAATTAGCCACTACCGTCTAAAAAAGGCTAAATTAGCCACTACCATCCAAATGAGATTCACGTGCTTACACACAACCCAACCCAGGTTGAATTTACCAAACTAACCCCTCTCACTCTGATTCACACTATCACCACCTCACCACACACACAACATTGAAATTTTCTAGGGCACACCACACGCTGAAGCCAAAAAGGTGAATTGCCAACGCCGAAAAAAGAAGACATCTCGCGAAGCATACCAAAGTCGATCGCCACCATAGAACACATCATTGGCGTTACAGAAGACTCGTGGAGCTTGCCAAAGTCGAACGCCGTCCAGGTGCATATTTGCGGCGTCGAAGAAGAACTCACCGTCCCAAACACCACCGATCGTCAGGTATTGGTTATTTTTCTGTTTTTTTTTTTTTGTGTGCGTAAATCCATCTCCTTCAACCCGATTTGGTGGGTTCATTTGTGAAAGCCATTGTTGAGGGTGCTTAAAAATTTTCCTCCATTTTTTTTTTTAATGTTTATTTTGTGTTTGGCATGTGGGAAACCCACTACTCTGTCATGTAAATTACGACCAGGGCCGGCCCTGAGATTTAGGGGGCCTAAGGCGACCTTTGGAAATAAGGCCTTTCTTACATTGAAAAAAAAAAAAAGTTGATGGATAAATGGATAAAAATTTATTTGCACATATAATCATTAAAATTATAAACAAAAATTTACTTTCATATATTAAGATAGGATGCAATCATTACAAATACTCAAAAAACTAAAAATCTGGTTTTATTGCTTTATAGTTTAGTAATATCCAATTTACAACTGAACCAACTATCACATAAACATTACTCTTCTCACATTTTTAGCTGCAAAATCACTAATGAAGCGTGCATAATCGAATTTATCCACCATATCCTTTTCAATGGATAACAAAGCTAACCCATTCAATCTTTCTTGTGACATAGTTGACCAAAGGTAAGATTTGATTAACTTTAACTTTGAAAAACTTCTTTTTTCAGAGGCCACAGTAACAGCTATAGTCAACAAAATTCTATACACAATCCATGCATTTGGGAAACAACCATCCGTTGTTTTCAAATAATTTAATACTTCAATTGGCCTTTTGATTCCTTCCGGTAAAACTTCTTTCAAGACATTCAACTCTGAAAATAGATCTCTCCCATCAATATCAGAAAGTTCATCATGTTTCAGAAAATCTTCAAGATTAACACAATAAGCCTTCAAACATTCCTTGTTGGTAGAACTCAACCTTTTCAAATCAAACAAAAATCCAAAATTTTCCTCGTATACTTGAAATTGTTCAAACCTACTCTTAAGTGAAGAAAGAGCTTAATCAATTATATACATAAAGTAATTAACTCTAAAAGATTCTTCAGTAGTCTGTGTCACCTCTTCACTAACATTCTCATCAAATTGCTTCTTTCTGCGAATGACGTATTTTTCACGAAATATTGGATCAATTTCCATTAGAGTAGCAACTTCTTTTGCCTCAATCATGTCATCCAAAAATCCAGTTTCTCTATACTTTTCAAGAAAGGTAACGAGTCCTTTTAACTGAATTATAGCAACATCAATATGCGTGTCTTCCCTTTGAAATATTTTGCTAACTGAGTTAACTGCAAACAATAAATTATGCCAAATAATCATGCCAAGCAAAAATTCAAAGTTCTTAATTTCATATGTTCCTAAAGACTCAGCTTCACTCTTTGTATTGTGGGGTTCACTGAGATTTGCCAAATGATTTAAAGTATCTCTTATTTGTGGAGCTTGATATCTTACTGCTTTAACACTTTCAACGCGACTTTCCCACCTTGTTTGTGACAATGGCTTCAATGTGAGACCTTCCACATGATCTTTGAAAACTTTCCACCGCTTTGTAGAAGATGAAAACAATAAATATATACGTTGTAACACTCCAAAAAAAGAGATAGCTTTGGGACAAGAGTTAGCCATATCACAAAGTGCAAGGTTAAGACTATGACAACCACATAGTGTGTAGAATGCTCTGGGATTTATTTCAAGCAGCCTTTTTTGTACACCTTTGTGTTTCTCTTTCATATTAGAGCCATTATCATATCCTTGCCCTCTTATATCAACAATATCAAGTTGGAGTGTGCACAATACCTCTTTAAGTACATTAAAAAGACCCAATTCCGATGTGTCATCCACCTTTAAAAATTCTAAAAAGAACTCTTCCACCTTTACTTGATTAGTTGAAACATCCACACATCTTATTACAAGAGACATTTGTTCTTCATGACTAACATCTGGACTACAATCAAGAATAACTGAAAAATATTTCACTTCTTTGATTCTTTTCACAATTGTACTTTTGATCTCACCCGCTAACATCTATATCAATTCATTTTGGATTTTGTGACCAAGATAATAGTACTGAATTTCATTCCTTTCAATGCGATGAAGGTGGTCTTGCATTACCGAATCAAATTGATGATATATCATGATGTGAATTCATTCTGTGGGTATATCATGATGTTCATTGGGCCTCAAACTTGATATATCATGATGTGAATTCATTCTGTGGGTATATCATGATGTTCATTGGGCCTCAAACTTGATATATCATGATGTGAATTCATTCTGTGGGTATATCATGATGTTCATTGGGCCTCAAACTTGATATATCATGATGTGAATTCATTCTGTGGGTATATCATGATGTTCATTGGGCCTCAAACTTGATATATCATGATGTGAATTCATTCTGTGGGTATATCATGATGTTCATTGGGCCTCAAACTTGATATATCATGATGTGAATTCATTCTGTGGGTATATCATGATGTTCATTGGGCCTCAAACTTGATATATCATGATGTGAATTCATTCTGTGGGTATATCATGATGTTCATTGGGCCTCAAACTTGATATATCATGATGTGAATTCATTCTGTGGGTATATCATGATGTTCATTGGGCCTCAAACTTGATATATCATGATGTGAATTCATTCTGTGGGTATATCATGATGTTCATTGGGCCTCAAACTTGATATATCATGATGTGAATTCATTCTGTGGGTATATCATGATGTTCATTGGGCCTCAAACTTGATATATCATGATGTGAATTCATTCTGTGGGTATATCATGATGTTCATTGGGCCTCAAACTTGATATATCATGATGTGAATTCATTCTGTGGGTATATCATGATGTTCATTGGGCCTCAAACTTGATATATCATGATGTGAATTCATTCTGTGGGTATATCATGATGTTCATTGGGCCTCAAATATGATATATCATGATGTGAATTCATTCTGTGGGTATATCATGATGTTCATTGGGCCTCAAATATGATATATCATGATGTGAATTCATTCTGTGGGTATATCATGATGTTCATTGGGCCTCAAATATGATATATCATGATGTGAATTCATTCTGTGGGTATATCATGATGTGTTTCATGTTTTTGGGCCCATGTTCATTGGGCCTCAAATTTGATATGTTTTTTTTTTTGTTTTTTTTTTGGCCCTATGTTCAATTGGGCGTATAATATTTGGATTTTTTTTTTATATCTAAAACAAAAAATCATATTTTGGGGTCCTATTTTCAGCCCAAATCTGGGGGCACAAGGCGCAGGCCTCTTTGGCCTGCCCTCATGGCCGGGCCTGTCTATTAGCTGTTATGAATTCCTAACGAATGATGTGTATGAAACATTATGTGGTTATAGTGGATGATTTCAAAATGATAGAGTTATGAGAGGCATAATTGAATTGGTGGCTCAGATTTGAGGGAGTGAAGCGAGGGACTTGCAGAGGGAGGGGATGTGAAGATAGTGGTGGGGTGCAATCAGTGTTATAAGAGGCACAACTAGGCTCATGGCGCAGTGAGGCGCATCTCATTTGACTCGTACATGCCAAGGGGATGCACATTCAATGAAGCACAACAAAGCACACAAGTCACACACTTCATTAAAGATTCTGCATTTATTTTTCCTTTTGGGAAACGTTAGGGATCATGAATTTTTTTTCATGAAAATGATCATGAAAGATTTATGGTCCTTGGATTACCTTGATTAGTGTGTAGTGCTTTATTCTAAGTGTAATCTAAGAGTCACAAAGCTTTCATGATTATTTTTATGAAATGTTTTCCATGATATCTAGCATTGCTGTTTCCTTTTCAATACCAGTTTTTGATTTTTATTTTTTTGGTAAATTACACTGACATTCCTGAGATTTTTATTTAATACAGATTCTCTTCACATTTGAAAAATTACATTCCCCTCCATGAGGTTTGTAATCTCATTACAAATTGTCTCTTGGATTGCTGATATTATACCTTAAAATTTTCTAAATGTCCATTTTGTCATTTTCCCTACCATTTCTTCTTCCTATCACCATGACTACATTCTACAACTTTTCATCATTAAATTCTACTTGAACATATTTTTCTTGAGTGATGATATACAAATATAAATTTTATATAAAATTTTCAAACACAATGATATAGCCTAAAACAAAACACTCATAAACATGATTTATATTTATAACATCACTATCATAACATTTTTATGATATTTTTTGTATAGATATTTATATATGAATAGAATTTTTCATTTTTTATTTCCACCATTATTTTTCTTTCTAGTCTATTCACCTACATTTATTACAGTATTACCAAATACCATCATTCACATTTATTATAGTATTACCAAATATGGTCATTCACATTTATTATAGTATTACTGAATTTTCGTTTTTTTTCTTTGTATTTGGTGAATTTAAAAAAAAAATACAAAATATTATACTTTTAAAGTATATCTAGATTAGGTGTATCTCAAAAATAAAAAAAAATTGTTTAAAATATTAAAAAAAATTCAGTAAAAATAAAAAAAATAAAAAATAAATTCATTTTTTGTGAGTTAAAGCTAAACAAGATGATTGTTATTTCTCTTGAAATGACATGAATAAAATATCAGCATTATTTTATTATTTTATATTTATAAAGGCTAAGGGGCAGATATGTCATTTTAATTTGAAGGGGGTAAGTGTAATTTTTCAAATGTGAGGGGAATCTGTATTAAATAAAAACCTTAGGGGGTGTCAATGTAATACCCTTATTTTTTTGTAACATATTAAACTTATATATGCTGCCACAAGGGATTGAAATTCTTCTTCTCTTTCTTTACTAATCTGGGATCTATTTTTTTTCCTTCTCCTTTCATTTTGATTGTTTCTTTTTTTTTTTTCTTCTTCTTCTTCTTCTTACACACCTTCTGGATTTTGGGATTTTTTATATTTTATTTTAGTTGGCTAGGCTGCTTCTTTTAGACATTGTTGCTTCTATTTTTGTTATGTTCTTCTCGATTTTTTCTTATCTTCTTCTTTTCCTCTGTCTTTTTTGATTTGTTGCTTCTTCTAGTCTACTCTTCTAAAGTTTTTCTAACTTTGCTGCTGTGTGATTGATCAATTTTCTTTTTCTTTTTTTTTTTTATTTTTAAAATTTGTGTTTTGGTGAATCTTGATTATTTTGCTGTTTAAAATATTAAAAAAAATTCAGTAAAAATAAAAAAAATAAAAAATAAATTCATTTTTTTGTGAGTTAAAGCCAAAGAAGATGATTGTTATTTCTCTTGAAATGACATGAATAAAATATCAGCATTATTTTATTATTTTATAATTATAAAGGCTAAGGGGCAAATATGTCATTTTAATTTGAAGGGAGTAAGTGTAATTTTTCAAATGTGAGGGGAATCTGTATTAAATAAAAACCTTAGGGGGTGTCAATGTAATTTACCCTTATTTTTTTGTAACATATTAAACTTATATATGCTGCCACAAGGGATTGAAATTCTTCTTCTCTTTCTGTACTAATCTGGGATCTATTTTTTTTCCTTCTCCTTTCTTTTTGATTGTTTCTTTTTTTTCTTTTCTTCTTCTTCTTCTTCCACACCTTCTGGATTTTTAGTTGGCTAGGCTGCTTCTTTTAGACATTGTTGCTTCTATTTTTGTTCTGCTCTACTCGATTTTTTCTTATCTTCTTCTTTTCCTCTGTCTTTTTTGATTTGTTGCTTCTTCTAGTCTACTCTTCTAAAGTTTTTCTAACTTTGCTGCTGTGTGATTGATCAATTTTCTTTTTCTTTTTTTATTTTATTTTTAAAATTTGTGTTTTGGTGAATCTTGATTATTTTGCATTTGTAATGATATGTGCTTTTATGGCTTTGGGAATTCTTTTACAATTTGCCTTATTTTTTCTTTTCTTTTTCTCTGTTGCATTGTTATTAATTGTGAATTCTTTCATTTTAGCTTAGGTTGAAGTTTGAATTATTCGGCTATATTAATTTTTATCTATTTTTTGACCTTAAAAGGTGTGCCTTGTTTCAATGAAGTGCGTGGGCCCCATGAGACCTTTGGTGCCTTGGTGTGCCTTGAGCCTTTAAAAACACTGAGTACGACATCAGTAATGGTGATTAAATAGTGGAACTAGTGGCAGAATACTGATGTTGTGGTGTGGTGCCAAGATTTTTCATGATGGGATGAGGTTTATTAATCAAATTGTCGAATATTTGAATTGGGCAATGTGTTAATAATATTACCATGCAGCTCATTGATTACTTACTAGGAATTGATGATGACATCTTTTGGAGTAGGATTATTATCTAAAACTTGTTTGGCTAGAGAGAGTTTATTAGGAAATAGAAGTAAAAAATACAATAGGATTACTTGTAATAGGCAGACCATGGGTGGCTTAGTAGCTCTACTTGGATACGATTTTTTTTTTTTTTGAGCATTCCAAATTGAGAGTTTAAATGCAGAGAATTGGAGTAATGAGTATATTGTGGAAGTACTGGAATATGTAGTATTGGACACCTCCCTAAACCTGCCAAAAAGGACCAAAATCGCCTCCCTCATAGGACCACCATATCCAACTACAGGGAATATTATGTATAGAAACAGAATCATCATAAGGGAACCTGAAGCCACAATGGTGTAAGTAGATTGCTTGTTTTGGAATTAAGTAGTTTGACTTAATTGGTAAAATTGTCGCTAAAAATAACTTTTTTGTGACAATTTTTTATATATGTCGCTAAAAATTGACAATTAGTGACTTTTTTTGTCATGATTTTTATAAATTGTCGCTAAAACTTACAATTAGTGACACTTTTTTATGACAAATTTTTTTCGTAGGACCTATTAGATAATAAGTCCACTTATTAGGACTTACACGTAAGTACCCCAAAGATAAATAAGTTTTGAGGAAATCAGTGGATCTTGAAGAAAATGATAATCACTTCATGATGGGTTATGCTGGGGACCTTCTAAACTTCGATTCTGTTCGGGAGAGGATTGATAGGTTAGGGTAAAGTATAGTGATAAATAGATT